GAGAGAATGACACATAACCCAAACAGTTTTTCAACTTACTATGGGAGAGCTTACTCCCAGGACCAGGTGTATATGCTAGCCAGGGCAACTTACTAATAGCTAGGTTTCTGGAAATCAAATTATAAATGAGATACATATTTCTGAGTTTTGAATCAGAATAAAGGGAATTTGATGGAATAACACTTAATTTAGTCTGCAACAGGTTTCAATGAATTATACTGGTAAATTAAACATTTTCTTTATTTATGGGAATATTTCAATTTTCCGATTAGATACACTGTCTTTATCTTCTAGGCAGTGGTAAAATAATGACAAAATTGTGCTCTATTTTCTTTCTAAGTCTCCATCTCTTCTTTTAAAAAAAGATTTATTTTTATTTATGCATAAAAGAGCTGGGGTGTAGGCCAGAGATGAGGGTGGGGTGAGAAGATTCACCAGAGACAGAGTGGGGAGCAGAACAGGTGGATGCACTGAAATACACACTGCTGAGGGGAGCAGCAGGTGAGACAGGAGAGGTCTGCTGTACTATGTGGGTCAGCTCCCTGGCTGAGGATCAAACTCAGGGCACAGCCGTGATAGTTCTGTGGCATTGAAACTTAATCCCTACACCACCAGAGAGTCTCCTGAGTGTCTATCTCTTTTAGATTGCTTTTATTATTTCCAAAGGCTTTCTTCTTTTCAGCACATTTTCCTAACCTTTTAGAGCTCCCTAACCATTTTTTTCTCACTTATTTCCCATACTACTTTTTCTTGTTTACATTAGGGAACATCCATTGTTCTTTGAATTATTCTCTAGGAACCATTATTTCTTTTGGGAATTTTGCTGTAGACAGATCTATCTGTATAGTGCACCGATCCTTTTTTCACTCAACCAGAAAGAATAGCATAGAATTGCTTATAGATTCTTAGAACCATCTTAATGGGAGGGATAAGGGGAACGATGTAGCCCAATTTATGTTACTGGCCTTATTAGGTGTAATTTCATTCCAGTTGCATTTAATTTTTGTTTGTTTGTTTAACAATATTTTCTTCCCTGTTTGGTTACAAAGATTAGTAGACCATTTTCCTTGTGATCTCCTGTCATGACCTTCTTCTCTATCCCACTGCCATTATCATAGGTCTCCATGCATGAAGTTTCTTATTCACTCCTCCATTTTAATTCATTGGTATCCCAGGTACTCTGAGATGCCTTTAATCATGCAATAACAAAACTGAAGGAGAGGGGGAACCTGAGATGACATAAAGAGAAAGAAACTTAGCACCCATAAAATCTCAATGGAGGAGGGTACTAGCTCACAGAATAGTGATGGTATTTTTTTTAATATAATAGTTTATTTTTACATCATTTTGTGCATTTTTTCATCTCAGTTGTAATCCTCTTGGTTTCCCATCACCAAATCATCCGTGTATCAAGTGATGGTATTTTACATCTGGGCATGTATGTCTTGTGTGCTTGTTTCCTCTTTTTTTTTTTTTTAAAGATTTATTTATTTGTGCATACAGAACTGGGGTACAGGCCAGAGGTGAAGGGGCAATGAGAGGACTCACCAGAGACAGAGTGGGGAGCAGAACAGGCAGACCAATGAAGTACACTGCTGAGAGGAGCAGCAGGTGGGTCAGGAGAGGTCAGCTGCGCCATGTGGATCACCTCCGTGGCGGGGATTAAACTCATGCTGAAGTGGCTTTAGCTTCTTAGTGCTGTGCTTTACCCACTGTGCCATCAGGGAAGGTCATGTGTGCTTGTTTCTTAAAGGAGTTAAATGATAAAGGAATCCCAGAGCTATCAATGCTGGACAAGAACTCTAGGCAGGTTTTACGGTTTCCCCTTCAAAACTTTTCATTTTTACTTAACGGTTATTCCTACAAATAGGCCAACAATCAGTAAATCTTCTTATTTGAGGTTGCTAAATAATTAGGAGCTTTAAAAAAATCATTGACTATACTAATCTTTGTCTGTGAGCTGAAAAACCGTTTTAAGAGTTTGATGTTTCATTCTGTCAAAGATTCTAAACTGGTGTTGCTGCCCTATCATTAAACCTATTTGTGGCAGAATTAAGTACAAGTTATAAAATCAAGAGTCAAATGTTGTTATCTTGAATCTCTTCATTTTCTGGCATTCTACTACATTGTACTTATTTTTAATTTTTAAATTTTTTTTTTACATTGTTCTTCATTTTGTCCTTTTTACACTGTACTTGTTAAAAACTGCCTGGGGAGCCCTCCCTGGTGGCACCACAGGTTAAAGCACAGCACTAAGAAGCTGAAGCCACCTCAGCATGAGTTCGATCCCTGGCCCTGGAGGTGACCACATGGCACAGCAGACCTCTCCCGACCTGTCCATCGCTCCCCTCAGCAGTGTGCTTAGTCGAGTCAGTCGGAATGTTCTGCTCTCCACTCTGTCTCTGGTGAATCCTCTCACCGTCCTTCACCTCTGGCCGGTACCCCAGCTCTGTATGCATAAATAAAAATAAATCTTAAAAAGAAAACCTGTCTGGTGATTTAGCAGTATTTTCATTTTACAGGGACTAAGACTATGAAAGTATTGATATAGTTATTTATTTAAAAAGTTATAACCTGGCCCTCGCTGGTGGCGCAGC